ATATGAATTAGTTTCCAGATGTAGTTTTCTACTTACTGTCTTTGTCTTGAAAACTTATAAGGTTATCTGAATATAAAATCCTCTATTGGGGCTTTCTCTATATGATATGCAGTATTTTCTGGTTATCAAGTAACAAATGCTTGGTAAGAATGTTTTCAGCATATTTGGCTACCCTTATTCAAGCTGAGTAATTAAATTGACCAGTGATGCTGAAGATATAAAAATCTATTTCTCATTACCAACTGTTGCATATTGAGGTTCCTGTTGTCCTTTTTTATGTCTGTTGGCATGATTCTCAGATCTGTATGGCTACATGTTCCGAGTTTCAAAAGACCAAATATTGATAGGACACCGGAATTTCAACAGTACCTACAGTTTCTACACTAGTGGGGTTTTAACAAGTTATTCTAACCACTAATAACTACTACTTATAGACCAAACTGTATTGCTCAGCCTTGAACACCTCATCTCCCGTTCTGACTCAAGAAGTTCTCTTTTTAAAATTAATTTTCATTGTCTTTTTTTAACAATAAACAAGTGATGCTATTTACTTCTATTACATTCAGAAGTGTCATGTAACCTCTGCCAACTGGCTCCCATTTCTCCTCTGCACCTAACATGTCTATGTTTCTATTTTATTTGTATCTTTTCATCAATGCAATAGTGCAAATAATGAGGAAAATCATATTATGACCAATAAAAGTATAGTCCCTATGTCCTTATATTCAATGTCTCAATTATCTCAGTTCTTGATATAATTTAATGAGATGCTAATATTCACTTTTTCTTAAAAAAAAAATATTTTAATCTTTCAGAGTCGTAAAGTTTTAAGGAAGTGTGCAGCTGTAAACATAACAGTCTCTGATAGAGAGTATATACAATTCCAAAATTACTTCCACAAGTTTGAAGTGCTCTACTCATCTTTTCTATAAAAGCACGCTTGATTAAGACAGGACTGTCTGTAGGAATTAAGGTGACTTCACTTGTACCTAAGCTAGTTTATCATAAGGACTTATATGATCTCCACCATATTTGAACAGAGGAGGAATGTGTTCGCCTCAGACAGCTGAATGGCAAGTTACTGCTCACACAATTTTCAGTAGAGAATTGAGGCACTGAAATTGTAAGTGGTGGGTCTAAAATATGTGAGGATTAGGGAGTGAAAGAAGAAATGAATTGAGGTTCCCTTACAGTGGGACAGATTCTCATTGCCTAAGAGACGGAGGTGGGAATGCCCTCGCCAGCAGTTGGGCAGAAAATGTTAACTCCATAAAACTGTTTTTATGCTTCTCTAACTTTGATTTCAAAACAAAGCCACTGTAGGGGTAGAGTTATATGGAGTTCCAGGAACTGTACACAAAGGCTGGATTTCCTTAGCTTGGGATTTTTTCAATTGCCCTGAAATGCATCTTTACTCTTATCCATTGTGTTCCCACTAATATAAATAGGTATCATACTGGCATTCAGCTAAGTAATTCTTTTGTCATCCACAGATGGACAGGGGATTACATGGCTAAGAAATGAAGTAAAAAGCTAAATCCCTATGCTTGATAAAGCTTTGCTTGTTTTCTCTTTTATTCAGGATTACCGAGTGAACATCTTTCTCCGTCAGAATTGGAATGATCCACGCCTTGCATACAGTGAATATCCCGATGACTCTTTAGACTTAGATCCATCTATGCTGGATTCAATTTGGAAACCTGATTTGTTCTTTGCTAATGAAAAAGGTGCCAACTTTCATGAAGTTACAACAGATAATAAGTTGTTGCGAATTTTCAAAAATGGAAATGTACTTTATTCCATCAGGTGAGTCTCTAATAAAATTATTATTTTCAGATAGAAGCTCAAAAGTGTACCTAAGAATTGCCCACAGGTATCTTCAGTTGCTAGTCATGCAGAACAATCACTAGAGTAGTTGTGAGTTCTGAATACATAACTTCATAATCATTACTGTCCATTGTTGATACTAAAATTGAAAATGATCCCTCATTAGGCATGCACTTCGTAAAAATAATAAGAAAAATATCTTTCCCATTTAAAAGTACAGAGATGGAGCCTAGAGGAGCTAGAACATTTGCACAGAGCAATCCTGGATTATTATAATCTGAGCTGGTTTTTGTATGAGTTTCCCACACTGTAGCCTCCAATGTCATGACAATCCAATGTTATTTTTTTTTTCACCTTTTTGGATATTGCAGTTGTACTTCAGCATAGAAACATGACCTGTTTGAGGAAGCATGAGATTTAAAGAATACTTCACTTACTGCTGGAGATGGAGAGAAAAGTGGAAAGTAAAATTTTGAAAAGGTTTAAGAAGCTGTAAGCAGCAATCACATATAAGTATTAACAAAATCTATTCTACTTCTTTTCTCCCCACTTTCCTTTTACTGAATACAGACATTAGTAGGTATTTTACCACTATTTTCAAAAACCTCATCTAATTAGAGACACATTGGACATAAGTATACTGATGTTCCGTTAGACATGACATAGATTTGGTATTAATACAGTGACCTACGTGTGCAAAAATGTTAAGCTTTTCAAAATAAATATACCTCTTGTCCATGTAGTGTTTTGCTTTGCATGCTTTTACGATACTGCATTAATGGGTACTTGCACTTTTTAAAGAGATATCAGGAATCTGTAAAACAGTTTGTATACAAAGAGAAAAAGAAAACACTTGCATGGATGTATCAGTGGCAAGGAAGCCTCCTTCCTCCCTCCTTCCAGTGCAAGTGGGCAGCATCTTATCAAGCTTACACAGAGAGAAGGGGTTGGGTTAAAATTCTTATGAGCATTTCATATCCAAAAGGAGGTTAATCTGCCAGTCTGGGAACATAAACATTCTTCAGTATCACAACATGTATTCTGTCACTAGAAACAGGTGTAAAGCAAGTAAAAAGGATTCCTTCTCCAGACCCAAGTAGAAAGTAGAGCCAAAGCTATTAACTCCAGACTGTCCGAGTCACCCTGAGAGGCACTGGCAGCTATTCCACTCTAACACATAACACCTCCTCCCTGCCCTACTTCCTCCAGATATGTACAACACAGAGTATAGACACAACTGAAGCAAGTTTAGATTAGAACTTCAATAGAATTCAGACCAAGGTCACGGTCACATGAAATGGCTGAAAAAAACCAAACATGAGAAGTATTATAATATTAAAATACAAAAGCAAATGCTGACTATGATGAAAGCAGATGACAGATAGCTCCTCTGGTTTTTATGGAGCCAGTAAGTTTAAGTTGCCATGATTTAATTGCAAAATATTACATTTTCTGAAACACATTTAAAATCATACAATTTGCATCTAGTAGAGCTGTTATGTGAATTTGAGTCAGTTAAATTTTTGGTGAGGGGAGACATGCTAGTTGCTAACGTACTAATATTAAAAGAAAAAAAAAAATGAAGATTTCTACATTTGCTTTTTCCTTTCATTCCCTGGTGTCTCCTCCTCCCTAACTGCATTGAAACAATTCAGACAAGAAAATAAAGAGAAGGTTCTAGTTCCTGATTCAGTGAATACTCAATATAAAATACTAAAATATTTACTGAAGCCAGGTGCCTCTTCTCTGAAATGACTTGTGTTCCTAGCCAACTAGTCAGATTTTGTATTTGGAACTATTTTTAATAGCATGGGGATGGTGTCTGGGTCTTAGTTCCCTCCTTGGACTCTCCTCCCGCAGCTCTGTCACTGATCAGATAAACTGAAGTTATAGCAACAAAGAATCAAGAAGCTTTGGAGAGGGAAAAAGTAGGCTAAAAAAAATATACAGCCATGTTTGCTGCTTACTGCCCACTTCTCTTTAGCCCCAATGCCAAAAACAGGGGAATGGGTTTAAGAGATGGGAATTAGAGCACTGCCATTCTAGAAAAGCCTTATGTATAAGGAATTGAACTCAAGCGCCTCATGTTTTTGGAGAACGTTCTATCAACTGAACTGATAAATGAATATGGGGCAAAATTTTCATGCAAGATATTTTCTAGCAAGAAGAAAGGTACAGTCATGACCCTGAATGATGAATGGATACCTAAGCATGGCCAGTGAAGGGAAAACACGTGCCTTTATCTCTAATATTCTTCTTTCTCATTCCTCTGAGACGTATCACTCTGAAGATAAGTTACTGTATTGACATAAAATGTAAAAATACCCCTTTTGCCTGTATGTTGCAAAGTATTCCACAGGAAGTATCAGGACTAACGTGAAACAGCTGTAGTTCAAAATTACAGACATATTTCAGTCTACCATCAGCATCATAAAATGTTATCTTAAACCTTTGTGTTGACAATTTAAGCACCTTATTCTAGGACAATAACACACAAATTACTTTGCTACCATGATTTGCAGCTGACATCTGTTATGAAATTCTTGCAAATCTGGGTAAGTTTTATGTCAAGGATTTGAAATACTGTAACAGTAAAATCTGCTGTAGAACAAAAAAGCATGCTGTTGTTGCATTCCTTTAGACTTCCCATAAAGCTAGGCAACCTTGCTGAAAAAAGGTGTTTTTCTGAAAGCCTGTAATAATTGTTTTGCACATTGTCATACTAGGCTGAGCAAGTGAAATAGGTTCAGATAATATACATACAATTTGAGAGCTTTCTAATGAAAAAATACATTTTTTTTAACTATTTCTAGTGACTTTCTGTGTTTTCATGCATTCTTCCTGTGCGGTTCTATGGCATTTTTGTGGTATATTTTTAATTTTTTTTTTTCATTCTTTCAGATTGACTTTAATACTGTCCTGTCCAATGGATCTCAAAAATTTTCCAATGGATGTGCAAACATGTATAATGCAGCTGGAAAGCTGTAAGTTTGAGCAATGTATATATACCATAAATACTTTTGTAGGGGTTACAACTGCTATGCAGGAATGAGAAAGACCTTTTGTAGAGGTACAAGAAAACATTCTTAGAAAAGAACCCTCTATTTTACCAAAAGAAACTGTGAAATGTACATTATTTTCAAAGGAATAGTTTATTTCATTTTTACTGGTACTGAAAAGCAAGTTTTGTGTAAATCAAAAGTTAATACTAAGCTTAAGTACTCAGTGCCCGTTTACCTTTATGCACAATTTATGCATATGGGGATTCACCATTAATCTTTCCCTGTGTTCACACATACAGGGGGACACTAAAATGGAAGAGCATAAAGGAAACATAATTTAAGGGAGTTATTGATGTGATTTATGTGAATATCCCAAAATCAACAATAAGTCGGTGTTCTTTAAAAGCTGGAAACAAAATGACATATACTGCTTCGCTGCTTTTCAGGTTCCTGCCCTAGCTCTTCGACAAGCCTACATGTTACAGCTACATATCTGTAGTTTTTACTGAATCATACTAAAAGGGATTAGGGAAACGGTTTACTACAAGGGAGAACTGTAGAAGATTTCACAGCATATATGTGTGTATATATATATATGCCCATGTACCTCGGTAGGATATGTCACTTATACAGCCCTCTCTCCCTTGACTGGGGCAGCACCTTAGATTGGTGGAATACTCCCAGAAAATCTTGGGAAGGGCTGTAGAGCCATTGCATTAAGAAGTCCATACAAGGTACCCTCTAGCTAGGGATAAAATGCGAGTATGATCTGGCCATCAACCATAACACTGGGAAAAAATCTAGCATCTTCCGAAAACTCTGGACTTAAAGGAATTTGTAGCAGCACAGATAGCTTGACATTGAAAACACTCAGGCAAAACACAGAAAGAAAAAAAGGCCTGATAGCTTTCTAGCACAGAGAAGGTCTGTCAGTTTGACCAAATCTGGTGTTACACTAGAATTTCAATGGAAAGAAATTACAACTCCATGTGTTTTAAATAATCTCTTCATAAAGCCTTGTTTCCATTATACACAAATATCTTGAGCAGAGCAAAGGAGAAGGTAAAATCAGCTTAGACAAGACAGGCTTACAGAATTATCTTTCAGTTAACAAGAAGACTTTTTATGTGAAACAAAATTAACATTTGTTAACTCAACCCATCATGTACTGTATTTATCGTCTCCCTTGATGTCTCACTTAGAACATAAAAGAGGATGGAAAGCGTACAGCAGCTATGCCATTTCAAGGCACACACACACAGACAAAAAGACAAAATCAAAGGTTCTGTCTGATGCTATGGTTGAGCTAACACAGGATGTGTAAGGAGGAAAGCACAGATATGCATTAATTTTCATTGATTTCCATTAATTTCTCATTTTTCTGGTGATATGAAGCATTTGGGCACTGCATTTTCCCCTTAAAATGAGAGGACTTTGGAAGAGATTTGGCAGAAAAATCCTCCTAATGATGTGAAGAAGAAAAAGAAAATAAACTAAAGCATTCTTTGAAAGATTCCAGCAATCTGAAGTTTGTGAAAAGTAACGACAACAGAAAAACAGATAAATAAAAAGTACCCATCTTTACATCAGATTTAGATTTATAGTTTTAGGATCAACAATGAAAATATTTATGAAAATAGTTTTCTACATGTAGAATGAACATACTGGATTATTTGTAATATATTATAGATCAGAAACACAACATACATAATTTAAGCACTTTTTTCTTCTTTTACTGGAACAAAGTAGTGTCTAAGAGAAAGGAGAGGTACTGTCAGTCAGTATGTGAGAACTGTTTGTTGTATGGATAATGGTATGCTTTTACAAAAAATTACAGGGTGAGTGTGAAAGCCATATCTATCTTTCATTACAATGGACACACGGTAATGTTAAAAAGCAGGCTTTCAATATGAGGGCAACAGCTGAATCTGACAGCAGAAATTTTCTTGACTAAAATTAAGAGTTATTTGCTGCAAATGTCAAGGAATTTAGGGCAATATTATATGTTCAGCATTTGAGCAAAACTCCACAGTCAACCCAAATGGATAATCCTACTAATAACCTATGTCACCTTTATAATTAATGTGACTAAATAAAAGGTTAATATGAAGCAGTTATATCAGAGTATATACAGATGGCAGGCATATTCACTATATACAATTATACTTCAAACAGGAAGTATCATAGTGTCTGACTGAACACACAAAAGGTATATTTTTTTTAATCGTGTTTTAAAAGTTATGAAATTGTTGCTTTAACAGGTTCGTAAACCTCAGATGTATTTTTCCTCTCTTTCAGCCCTTGTGAGCACAGGTCATACAGCAGCTGAGCATTGTTGAACAAACAAGGCATCTGTTTTGCTTTAGGGAAATCTTGCAGGAGCTCACAATTTCCACAAACTGCACCATGGGGAACCAGTACTTATTAGTTGAATAGCTCTGTAGATGTTCTACTGTATTTTCCAGTAGAACATTTTGCACTGAAGTCTTGTTTTAATCATTCAGTTCAGTGGGAGTAGATTCCCTGCTGTGCACTCACGTAGTAGAGAGAGGCAATGTTCACAAAAGACTAGCTGAACAAAATACAAACGAGTGCTTCAAAATCTTCTAGCTACAGAGGAAGATCAAATTTTATTTCATAAGGAAGTTACAAGTAATAAATCTTTCCCCATGTCACATTGTCTAATTCTATTTTACCTGTAACTCCAAACGTTGAAAAATGGAGACTATGGGCAAAGTAGCTGGCCCGAGGCATAAAATTTTGCAGCCTGTGGGAGCTCTGGCTATAGCTTCATGTCTGATAGCAGAATAATCGGTTAGGTTTGCAAGAACAAGGCAGCAGTTCTCTGAAACTGATATGTTACTTTGGGACAGACCCAAAGAAGATAGGTACAATTTCCAAGCTCCTAGACCTTCAAGAGCAGGAATTCACCTCCCCAAAACCAGATTAACTATACAGGAAGTTCAAGAAGGGAAATAGACACCTTGGAAGAGTTACAGAAAATATCTACATGCTGGACAGGAGAGTAACTGGGTAAAAAAAAAAAGTTTTATACGAGTCTGAACTCTGACCAAATTCTTAGCAAAAGGTGAGCAGAAACATCCAAATTCCAGAGTACTTTGTCTAAGATTTGGTATCTACTTATATTTAAAATTATAGAAGAAAAAAGGAGGATGGGTGCATTTAGCATTTTCCCAGGCTTCATATCAAAATCTCCTGAGGTAAGAATGACAATAACCCCAAGAGCCTGAATCCATCCAAGAATCTCTAATTTCTAGGCCACAGTGTCATACTCTCCTGTGGCTGGCTGACTTATATTTTTTGGTGCACAGTGAGACAAGGTAAACAGGGGGATCGAAGTACTAACTCTGGTGGTTAGTGCACTGCCCAGGGAAGTAGCAGATGTGGGGTTTCAAAACTGAGAACACAGTCCTCTCATGTCCTGAGTAAATTATCCGATCATCAGGCTGTGCTATCAAAATCAAAGTGGTTGCAGGAACAAATCATCAGCAGCCATGTTTCCAGACATTTCTTTTTGAAGTGATCATCATTGTTTTTTCCATTGAGGGCCAAGTTGGGTAGGACGCTGTATAATTATGAATTTACAAGGCCTATTTATCTCACAGCTTCTTTAAGCTGTATCTGATCTTGCAAGTCTTGCTCCTGCATGTGTCACTAAACAAATTAGACTGTTTCTAACAAATGACTCATCTTTTTCTTACTCATCTTACCACCAGGTTGCAATGAAAGGCTCACAGTTACTTATAAAGGATAGGTCGTAGGTTTTACCTCTGTTATAAAACTGTAATTTTGTTTAGTACTAGATACTTTGCTTCTATATTGATACTGTTGCTCCAGCATAGAGAGCTCTCAGAGGAAAATTCATGTATAGCTTTTATTCCCAAATTATATTTTTATTTTTAGCCATCTCATGTAATGTTTTTTTTCCAAGGTCAGCCTAAACAGCTGGATTTGCCCCTGGTTAAAGTACTTCACTTATATTGTGAAGTGTCTGAAAAATATGAAGTGGAAATATCTTCTATTTTTAAAGGATTTATTTTACCAAATGATTTCTCAGCAACTAGAATGAGCTGCTTTTGTATCTTACCAAGGAAGCAGATGAAAATGCACATATGAAATAATCCCTTCTACATTTTTATGCTTTACACCAGGGCAGCCTATAGGCATGAGAGATAATTTTAGTTTTATTCTGCTTGAATAAGATATAAACAAATGTCAGCTAGATACATATTTATTTGTGTGGCCTGTCTCCCAGGAAAGAAATGCTTTTCTTTCATGTGCTAGAGCTTGTTGTCTCTCTCTTTTTTAAGTTTCACTTTTATCTCAGAGCATTCCTTTAGTCATATATTACAATAATAAGTTTATGTGATATTCAATATTCCTGAATTTTCAAATAGTGAGAAGACTAACTCACAGAAGAAGAAATATACTATTAATAGCAACATATGTAAAGGGGAAAGCACCAGCTTGCCTCATAATTTTATTTTGAAGCTTATTGTCTCTTAATAAATTAAACAATGGTTTTTTTTACCTTTTTGATTTATGGAGGGTTTTAGTCTTTCTAAGCAATCATCCTCCTGTCTTTTGGATTTTTAGAGAAAATTCACTCTATATTAAATTATGCTGTTACCGGAATAGCACAATTCTTTCCTCGCAGACTCTAAACAGCAACATACGTAAAGGGGAAAGCACCAGCTTGCCTCAGAATTTTATTTTGATGCTTATTGTCTCTCTTAATAAATTAAACAATGGCTTTTTTTTACCTTTTTGATTTATGGAGGGTTTTAGTCTTTCTAAGCAATCATCCTCCTGTCTTTTGGATTTTTAGAGAAAATTCACTCTATATTAAATTATGCTGTTACCGGAATAGCACAATTCTTTCCTCGCAGACTCTAAACTGGAGATTGTGCAAATGGAAAGATCTGTGAGCACGCTACAGCAGTACAGGTTCGTTTCCCACA